GATATTGGCGGAGTTATGCTTTAATAAATTTAAATATATATTTTGGCCAAAATTATGTTAATTTTGGCTGAAATTACAGAATCAGACCTTAATTTCCGCAATTGTCCGCAATATCGTAAATCGCAATTATTCTGCAATTGCCTATTTGCAGACCCATCCTTAGTAATGATCAACAAAATTAAATTATATTTTAACCAACTTTTGGTACTTTAAAATGTGACAAATTATATTATTTTGCCTAGTGATATATATTAAACAACTATCAATTGTATCAATTATTAATGCCTAATATTTATTTGTATAACATCTGAATTAGACAACTTCATTTATAAGTAAAAATGCTGATTGTTTTGGTTATGATCAGTAAAAATTAGACCATATTTTAACTAATATTCAGCATTTTAAAAAAGTGATAAAATGGATTATTACGACTAGTAAATATTAAAATATTCTTTTATCATATAAACTTAAAACTTTATAAAATTTATTTATTTTATTTATTCATTAATATTAATTATAATTTATCAATAACTGAATTAAAAAATTTATAATTTATTTTTTAAAAAAAAAACTATCATAAATCCCATATTTTTCGTATATAATTTATAATTTTCTAAATAATAGATGATTAGATAATTAGAAATATGTAAAAATAAAATATATCTAGATTTAACTATTAAAAAATATTTGGAACCTGATTTTTATAATATATATAAAATATAAGAAAGTGAATTAATACAAGTAATTGTATTAATATAAGAATGATAATTTGATGATTGATATTATATTATTAAAAATTGAATAAGACAAATTTTTGATTCAAAGAATACAAATATGTAATTATAATATTAGTATAAATTTTTAAATTAATATTTGCAAGTCTATAAATACTGTAAATGATAATCTATACTGATTAATTTTATTGAAATAAATATTCTAAAAATATACATATTTATAAGAAAACTTATATATAAAGTTGCTAGCCAAGTATTTAAATAGTAAGGTAAAACTTGATTAAATTATATTAAATCTTATTAAAAATTCTGCAAAATTCGAAAAAAAATAAAACTATATTAAAACTTATAAAAATAGTGAAACTATATTAAACATTTAGTAAAAATTTAGCAAAACTAAAGGTTTAGATATTTAACCAAATCTAAAATGAGTTTAGATAAGCAATTTTACTTATATATAATCTTAAAACTTTATTTGAAATTTTATACATACTTTTATTATAATCTAATTTAGTATTACTTATTTTTACATGTGAATTTTACTTAAAATACCCTTATTTTTATATAATTTTTACATTAAAAATACAAAATTTATATATAGTATTTATTATAATTGTTTGGGATTCTATCAGACCTGTTTATAATCATCTTATCTAAAATTATATTATATAAAAACTTTTTATAATCAGTTTATATTAAAACCAGTTATGATTAAATTAATAAAAAAATGCCTCTATATTATCACAATATTATAAAACCTTTATAAATATATATTTTGAAACATTACTATGTAACCAAAAGTGGTGATTATAAATAAGTCTTATTGTAATTATTATCAAATCTTATTATATTATTTTTTTTATTAATCTTTTATTTATTATTTAATGCTATTTACTCTTTTATTTTTAACTTATAAAGGATATACATATTTTAAAGAAAGTTAATAGAGATGGTTTAAATTTTTTTTCTTATTTTATAAATAATATTCTAATAAAAAGATTATATATACTTTAGATAACTTTAGCAACTATAATTTTATAAATATATATTAATATATTAAATTAAACTTAAATAACATATAAATTAAATAGTAGAATTGAATTATAAATAAAAAATTATATTTAATAATTAATGAATATCATTGTTAATATATTTAAACTTTTTTTAAAAAATCTGAAAATTAATTAAAAAGAGATATTTCAGACTATAAAAAGTTGCTTACAGTAATAATAAGATGAATTTTTAATCTCATAATATACATAAACTAGATTTATTTTAATTACCAAATTTTTACTTAAAGATCAATAAATCGTAAATAAATCATTTATTATACTTGAAAATAATAAATTAATAAATGGAAACTTATAGGATTTATTGTGAATAAAGAGAAATTCCATTTTATTGTTTTATTGTGCATCTATTAGAACCTCAACGTACGTACATTCATCGGTCCTAATAGACCACTCAATAAAAGAGTTATTGGGCAGCGGTTAAATATCAGCCCAATAACTATATAATATTTCATTTCGAAGATAAATATTATTGAAATGACCATCTTAAGCACAATAATAAGGATAAACGGTTGAATATTGTCGTACCTGTATCTTGTGATACAGAAAATCATCGTTCATTGGTATTATTTGGAAAGTAGCATTTTTTTTGTATCATAACATAATAACTGTCTCTCAAAATGAAAAGTATTGATGTTGGAGTGTTTCACTTACATTTAGATAACACAAATCTGCGGCAGTAAAATAATATGCCGCAGATATTTTTGTGAACCCATTTCATTTGGAAAAAGGAACGAGTAATACGAAATGAACGATAAGAAATTGAATTAAAATCATTATCTTATCTTAATAATGGAAACGATAAGATAAGATTCGAAAATCAAAGATCAAAATAAAATTTTTTAATATAATAAGGGAAGCAATATTTACCATTTTCAATCATTTACAATGCTCGATTATCTTATCTATTCGTCAAAGAACATAAATTAATTGTAATAAATGTCGTACGATGATTGTGAATGTTGAATTGCATTATCTTATCCCAATGATTTTGTTCAAAAGAGAACAGTGATAAGGAAAAAAAATTTTTTTTAGACGGATCCGTGATAGAAACATTTCACCATAACAAATAAAAAAAAGATTGGAGAACAATATGGGGATTTACGTTATATCATCGATGTTCTACAGTTCCTTATCAGTTTAAATTCGGATAAGGAAGGTTTTATCTAAAAAATCTTTGTAATCTGATTTATTTTGATTTAATTTTTTTTTTTTTTTTTTGTGCAGTGCGGAAAAATCAATGATTTATGATGTAGTCTTACTTTAAAAATCCTATTTATAGTAAATGAACGCTTATCTTTGAAGATCAAAAAATGGGGGTGCAAAATATAACTGGAAAAAAAATAGTCCCGACGTTGAAATTTTCATTTAGTTTCAGTTTTTGAAATCACAGCTTGGTGCGACCACCAAATTTAGTAGTATCGTCTTTGTCAGATAATTTGATAGTGCACTTTTCAGCAAATTCTGTTACACATTGGAAATCATTAAAAGAACAATATCTGATATCCTTGTATGATATGTTTTGTTTTTCATTTTTTCTCCGATTTTTTTATATATATATATATATAACCCATCTCATTCTTTTCCCCATCCTCAAAATTTCATTAAACATCTGCCTTTATTTAACCAACCTTAAAAATCTCATTTCAATCAACAAAATGTCTTTCCTAGCAGATTTCGAGCCGGCTCTTATTCACTCACCTTTTGACCGTCACCAACGTCAAGCAACTGGATCAAAGAATCCTTCAACGGATTTATTTACTTTCCGTTATAAACTTTCTGTGAAGGTTAATCCTAAATTATCCACCATCTCTTCGATTTCATCTTTGGCGACACCGGAAATCAAAAAAGCCAATTGCACGTCTTCATTACCTTTGAAAAAGATGCCAACAATGAACATTTCTTCATCGCCTGCTCCTTTATCATCTACACAACAAGTTCGATATGATCGAAAATATTGGACAGATAAATTGGTTACGTTTATACTTATGATGCCTTACTAAAAATGATGTACAAAATGTACGATTTTTTTTGCATCGAACGACTATTATGATATTTAAAAGAAAAAAGAAAAAAAAAATACACATTTTTTATATATAAAATTCATTTATTATGCCTAAAAAGAAAAAAACATTATTTTTTGTGCGGTCTGGGTATTTCCTTTTTAATTAATAATATTTATATTTATTTGTATAGCTTATTATAGAAATTTCATAATTTTTACTTTATCTTTTCTTTTCTCTATGAAGAAGCGAGAACAATTAAATTTTTTTTTTTAGATTTTGTAAAAATCATTAGAATATTATATTTTTCAATTTCAATTTTTTTTTTTTTTTTTGGAAAAAAAAATTTCTTTGTACTATTTATGATTCATTATGAGTTGTTTGTAACTGTTTCCAAATAAAGTCTAATTTGTCACATGATCTTCATTTTTGAATGGCGTTTTCGGAGTGTCAAAGTGAAAAAATGTCAAAAAGTTTCAGGGGACAATGTCTTGGCCAACATATTTATTTAGAAGTTCTATCCCCTAGCGGCAACTTTTTTTTTGAATTAAAACAATAAACTTATCAAAGTGATCTGATTATCACAAGATTTTTGACGAAAAAGATTTAGTTTCTGTGTTATAAACGTCTTCCATTCTTTTAAAGAGTAAACAAACCGATAAGAATAAATTGAATCCCCGAAAAGAATTTTGCTGCGGTTTAAGGAACTCTGAATTGAATTTATAATTATTTTTTTGTATTACAACACTTTTAACCAACTCATAGGAGTTATATGTCCGAGTGCATTTTTGCTTGCCTGAAGTTTTAACCAAATTTGGACAATTCTGTTGATCATACTCATTTTGTAAAATTAATTTTTTAAATGTTTTTTTTAATAATCGTCTTCAATAGATTTTTTTATGAAATTTCTCATAAATAGTTATAATATTTTCAATACAGACGAGTTGTTTTTGCAAATTTTAATATGGATCTATTATCTACAGAGTACAGTTCTAGTAGCGAGGAAGATTCCACAAAGATCTCAACCAAACGAACCGGTCTTAATAGCGCAATTTCTCAACTTGTAAAACGCCCAAAGATAGATTTGGCCCCAAAGGTCAGCTTAGAGGTTAGTATCCACTCGCGGGATCCCTAATAATTAGTAACCCGTTGTAAATATATGCAATTTCTTTGCATGAATTGGTTACTCGATCTGATCCCGCTTAACTATTTATTTCATTTACTAGTCTTTCTTTTCAAAATAAGGACACATCAATTGACGTGATATGGTTGAATTTTCTCACCATATAGGATCCAAGGCTTTCGAATTCAATTTTAATAAAACCCACCGATACTCAAATCAATGTGAATATACCGTACGATGATATGATGAAACCTGTAGCTGGTCCTGCTAATCCATACAGTACAAAAGTGATGAATCAAAACGTTTTAACTGGACATGTTGAAGAACAAGTTTATTCTGAAGCTGCTTTCAAAACGCAACAACGCACTTTCACTTCTTTTGGTTACGCGTTAGATCCTTCTCTTATCACATCAACTAAGGGGTATGTTGGAGACATTGAGAAAGCTGTAGCTATGAATGGTGCTACGATTTATGACCCAACTCCTAAACCGGCTAATATGCCAAAGAGATTACCTAAAGGTGATTCGGCTATATTAGAAGGTGAAAATGCGTATCAGGGTCCTTGGGTTGGGTACGAAGGTGAAAATATCGGAAATCCCGTCGGTCCTCCGGAGGTAACTTTTCAAAACTTTTGTAATTAAAAAATTATAGTTGAATATCATTATAATATTTTATTCTTGTTTTTTTTTTATTCAGGGTTCGATATCTACAAAGACTGAGACTGAAACTAAATCCAAGAAAGAAATCGAGTCTGGAATGGAAAAAACAATATTTCATGGTAAATTTATCAAATATGTCATACATCGTGTTATACATTATGTTGAGTAAATTATTAAACGTTTTATCTTTAGGAAAATCGGAATACGATTATCAAGGAAGGACTTATATGCATGTGCCGATGGATTTGGATGTTAATTTGTTGGGGGAGGCCGGCACTCAAGAATGTTTTATCCCGAAACGATGTATTCATACATGGTATTTACCGGTTAGTCATCTTTTATTTAGACTTATTCTTATTAACGTCTTTAAATAATAATTTTAGGTCTGGACACAATAAAGGTGTTACTGCAATTCGTTTTTTCCCTAGATCGGCACATTTGATACTGTCTTCTAGTATGGATACAAAAGTGAAGGTACGGATAATACATAATTATAATAAAAGTTGTTAAATTGGTTACAATCTCCTAATTTTTCATTCGTCATTCGAATATAGATCTGGGATGTTTATAATGATCGCAGATGCCTAAGGACTTATATAGGTCATAATAAAGCAGTTCGAGATATTACATTCACAAATGATGGAAAGCGTTTCTTAACGTCAAGTTATGATAAATATATCAAATTATGGGATACTGAGACCGGTATGATTAATTTTCAAGTTAACGCTTGTCACAGAAGCATGAAAAAAACCATTAATTTCTGGCATTGCAATATTAGGACAATGCATAAAATCATTTACCACCGGGAAAATCCCATACGTTGTCAAGTTCAATCCTGACGAAGATAAGCAGCATATATTTTTGGCAGGATGTTCTGATAAAAAGATTGTACAGGTGAGTTATCATCATCATCCATTATCCTTTAAATTTTTGAAAGGATTTTTTTTATTAATTTCACATTCCATGCTTTTAGTTTGATGTAAATACTGGTGAAGTGACACAAGAATACGATCAACATTTAGGTGCTGTGAATACCATCACTTTTGTTGATGAAAATAGACGTTTTGTTACTACATCGGATGATAAGACGTTAAGGGCATGGGAGTTCGACATTCCTGTGGTGATTAAATATATTGCAGAACCACACATGCACAGCATGCCCGCTGTGACGTTGCATCCTAACAGTAATTATGTTTTCTTTTAATTATCAAGTTTTTTATTTTAATTTAAATTCATTTATTAATCATATCATCAAATGTTATTTTCTTATTTCGATTCATAGAAAAATGGTTAGCTTGTCAATCTTTGGATAATCAAATTGTGATATATGGTGCCAAAGATCGGTTTCGTATACATCGCAAGAAGCGATTTACGGGTCATTTAATAGCTGGTTATGCTTGTCAAGTTAATTTTTCACCTGATGGTAGATTTATAATGTCTGGTGATTCAGAAGGAAATATATGGTTTTGGGTAGGTGCATCATTTTATGACTACTTTTTATTTTTTATTATCTAATTTTTTTTATGTTTCAATACAGGATTGGAAGTCTTGTAAAATGCTCAAGTAAGTTTTTGTTTTATTATACATTACTACTCATCGGAAAAATAATATTAAACTTTATTTATGACCAATAGGAAATTCAAGGCACATGATGATGTTGTGATTGGATGTGAATGGCATCCTCATGAGACTTCAAAGGTGGCAACTTGTAGTTGGGATGGATTAATTAAGCTCTGGGTAAGTAGACATGATTATTTGATTTACTTATTAAGAGATATATAACGATACTTAATCACGTATCTTATATCATTAGGATTGATTTAAAAGGGAAAAAAGGTAGATATAGTTATTCACTTTGTTTTATGCGAGTTTTGGATATCAGTTCGATTTGTTATCGACCAAGTGTGATATTATTATGATAACGATAATAAAAAAAAATGGTAAATTATTTTTGTAAAATACAATAATAATGTTATCATAAACCTAAGATATCAATCATATCCTTATTTCAAATTTTAAATAACTATAAAAAGAATTTAGACAGCAATTATTGATATCAATCAGAATTTAGAATTGATATGAGCCCATTTGCCTCTTAAACTTTCAGAATCTGATCCTGGTGAAAGTCTTTGAAGTACCCCTTCCTTCTCTAATTTGATAAGATGTAAAATCACACCACGTTCTGCTGCTGGCCACAACGATTCTGGATATTTAGCATAAATCTTCTCTACAATCTGTCTTGGCGTTAATGAAGATTTAGATGTTTTAAACTCTTCAATTATTTGCTTTTCTCGTTCCAAACGATGAGTGATATATTCTCCTAATTTTTCTGTTCCGTTTTCAATCACTGGGCCATGTCCAGGATATAATCGACCAGGGGTGAATTGTTTCAATTTATGTAACGAATCTATGTATTTGCCAAGGTCTTCGAATACAGTTGTACCCTGCCCTAAAACAGTATCGCCAGAGAAAATAGCTTTCTCTTCCTCCAAATAGAAAGCTACATGGTCTTCAGAATGACCAGGTGTAAAGATAGCAATGAGTGAAGCACCATCCGTTTTGAAAATTTGATTGTCTGCTATTTGTTGGAATTTTTGATGAGGTTTATCGTGTTTATGGTCAAGCCTTTTATGCACTACTGGCAAAGGCAAGTTGTTTTCACGTGCATATTGCAGAATACTATCAATGCCTCCAACATGATCGGTATGCCAGTGAGAAATTATTATATCGGAAATAATAATATTTTCTCCAAGTTTTTTTAAAGAATCAAATAATAATTGTGTATATTCGGGTTTTCCCTCTCCAGTATCCAATAGAAATTTTCTTGGACCAGTTCCAATAAGATACGTATTGGTTCCTACTCACATGTTCAATATAAGCTTGAGTAATCTAAAATAAAGCGAAAATCGACCGAGAAATTTGAGCAAACCTTGTAAAGTAAATTCATTAGGATTTAACCCGAGGATGCGGATAACTTTCTCGGTTAACTTTGTAAAAGTTGGTATTTCTTGTAACACTTCATTCATTTTCTTCCAAGGATTAGCATGCTCGGCTGATGTTTAGTTAATAATAGATTTCTCAGCCACCACTGAGCCACATTACTAAATTAGAAATTATATTTATATGCAACACAAAAATTCAACAAACTTCTTTTTTTTATTTTTTATTTTTTTTTTATTTTCGTGATATTTTATATTATAATCAAAATGTTGCAAGTTTCCAATACATTGGTAGCGAGAACAGGACGTGAAAAACAAAAATACACGGATGGTATACGCCAGGTTCGTAATAATTTCTTTAAATTTTTATAACTTTATTAAAATCTCGGTATTTTAAAAAATATATATATGTATGTATGTTACAGGTAGCCGGCTGTGTGCCAATCGATAGGAAAACCGGTAAAATCCTGCTGATAACGCGAAGAAAAAAGGGAGAAGGTTGGGTGCTGGTAATTACCTCTTGAATGATTTTAATTCGATGTTATCACGATTTCATTGATAATGAGTTTTTTAAACTAAAGCCTAAAGGTGGTTGGGAAAATGATGAATCAGTACAAGAAGCAGCAGCAAGGGAAACATATGAAGAGGGTTGGTGTTTTTCAAGTTCAATTATTTGTAATATATATATATATATATATTGTTTTAAAAAAAAAAATTCAATTTCAATTTGGATAGCTGGTGCAAGAGGACAAATAACGTCATTGATTGGCGTTTGGAATCATCATGTTATTAAGAAAAATACTGGATTACCAAAGGCTCAATTTAGGTTTTATGAAATGGAAGTAGATAAACTGGAAGAAAATTGGCCGGAAAAGAAGGAGCGAAATCGGCAGTGGGTTCGTTTTTTAAAAAAATTACTTTTATTATTAAAAAAATTTTGAATCACTATTATTAACTTTGAAAACTTTAGTTTTCTTATGAAGATGCAATAAAAGAATTGATAAAACCTTTTATGCGCGAAGTGGTTGAACGCTGCTCATTAGCTCCATCTAATAATAACAATATTAATCAAACAGGAAAGGTAAAAGAATATCAACATTTTCTTTACGCGTGAAAAAATTTAGTGATAAGTTTTTTTTTTTATGAGATACCAACAATTATTTTTAAAAATTCAATATTTTAACAAGTCAGGTCTGTTCGTAGCATCTCATGATGAGGACCGTAAGGACATATGGATATGGACATTTTCGATTTTAATAATTATTTTAGCATTTATCGTTTGGTATTTATCAACCAGTTATTATAATGACAATAATTTTAATTCTAAAAAATTTACTTCATTATTTTCTTTTGCTGTTGATCACTGATATAATCACATTTAATCCCCAAATTTGGATAATTTATACACATTAATCATTGAAAATTTTATAATATAATATTAATATTAATACAAATAACGAAAGACGATAATTTGGATTATTCGATGAAAGATTGAAATTTTATTTTTTAAACCATTTTGACATTCCTTTACATAATTAATTATTTTTTTTCTTTTTTTGAACATATGTAAAAAATAATTTAGAAACACTCATTTTCTGGATATAATTTAATACATGGCGCATCTCAGACTTATTAATTCTAAAAATAAAATTAAGATAAATTTTGAGGATGAATTAATTATATAAATATGGAAATTCAATTATGTATGCATGCATGTATGTGGCTCATATGTTTTCCAATCCACCAAAAATGGCATACCATTTCGTCATGTAACCAACAAGCTCAATAATTATGTCATCCGAAATTAAATTCCGACCAAGCTGGTCAAATGAATTACACGGAAAAAATACATAACATTATCTTTGATATGATTTTAAGTGAGGAGAATAGAAAGAACTCCCTTTCATGTTTAAAAAGATCCCTAGATAAGGCATAACCAATCCACAAAATGGGGGAAATTAAGTCAGCATGATCTAATATTGAAAATCTGGATTAACAGAACGTCATTAATATAGGGGGATATTTACTTCGGGCAAAAGGTCCGAATAATTTAACTTTATTAATGTGCAAAATGTCTTTTGTAATCTATTTTTAAGTTAAAAGTCGCACTTTTTGAAAACGCATTTGTTCACCTACCTATAAAAAATAACACATACTGCTCATTTAATCAAATCAGTTTTGGAAATTACCTTTTTTTACTAATTAAATTAGTGTTACATATATATTTTTTTATATATAGTTTTTTTCCTGTAAGTAAATAAAAAAAAAAAATTTTTTTTTACTTTATAAATTAATTTATTTAATAAATAAAACTTTTTAAGATTTTTTTTTTTAAGTTTCTATTATAAAAGTATAAACAATCTGAAAATTAAAATCAGTTTTAATTCTAAATATTATATAGTTGGATTAACTAATTCAATTATTATTTATGTAATATTTATTTAAATATATTAATTAAAGAAGTGAGATATCATTTTTTAATATAATTATATTAAAGCATGATATCCCACTTAGACTAGGTTATGTTACTATACTAAGTTTTATATTGAAGGTGCTGGGCTTCTATACCTGTTAGGTATTTAGTTTTATGTTAAGGATGCTTTCTTTTTATGCCTGTTTGGTAGCCTTTCAAGATATTAAGGTAGTGTAAAAAATGTGTTAGGTGATACAGTAAATTTGCAATACATTTCAGTTAATATTGGCTGATACTATACTGTAATTTTGGCCAACCTTTGAACATGTGATTTAAGGATCCAACTTGATATCATGCTAACAGTTTGATATAATAAACCAGTGTCATGAAGTTGATAAGGAACTCATAAAAAGCTAAAGTGGTTCTATTAATTTACTAGTTCTAAATATCTTTTATGCTAGCTTGTATGCTAAATTATTGTATCTAAAATCTGGCTAAAATTATCTGAATTTTACTAATTAAAGTTATTGTTAATTTATTACGCTTTCAATTTTTAACACTTTATTACTTTCTCATTACTTTCTCATTACTTTAAATATCTTACTAAATCAGAATTTTCATAGTAATATGATATCACCAGTTGTTCCTATTGTCTCATAAAGTTTATAATAATGATATAGATTTATAACTAAGCAAAAAAATTGTATAACTAGTTAAATAGAAAATCTGTTTTAATAAATTAGAACAGAAACCAAAATGTATTTTGATATAAAAGAAAAGTTTTTTTTCTTCATTTAACTTTTTTATTTATTATGTTTTAGTTATCTTAATTATTCTAGTAAAAAGTAAAGTTTTTGAAAAATTTCAAAACTTTTTCTATAACATACTTTTTAGTATATATCACTATCTATATATACACTACCTGAAAATAAGTTTGTGCAATCAGTTTTTCAGAATTTATTCAAAATCGTATATAATAAAAATCAATATATTTTGGCACCAATCGAAAGCCCTGCTTC